CTTTGATGTCAACAGGTGAGACGAAAACTCTGAATGCGCATCCTCTGTAGACTGGCCCAAAACACTCCTATTCCATTAAAAGTATAGGGTTGTATGGGAGGTCAAATGTTTGCAACAGAAAGTCTGACCCTGAGAGGGGCTCCAGGTCCATCTGTCCACGGTCTTTTAGGCAAAAAAGAAGGCAGTGTCAGGCGTGTCCAGCCTTCTATCCTGTCATGGACAGGAATTAAGTCAGTTTTCAAGGTTACTCTGGGATCCCTTTGGCCAAGAGAGTTTGTTCAATCAGTTGGGGGTTTCACATTTTATTTTTAGTTTACAAGTGGAACAAGAGCCAGGGGCACTTGGGACCTGAGGAAGATTTTCTTGGTGCCTCCTAGGGCCCAGTGGCTCCAGTTTTGGGAAATTGACTCTCCATTGTACCACCAGAGGGCAGGATGCCCCATTTTCAGTCCAGGGCGTGTACCTCCATCCAGAACAAAGCTCTGTACCCTGGGACAGGATGCCAGATCAGAATTTGTGTCCTTTGATGTGGAAATAGGACAGAGGTCAGGCCTTTGTTTAATTCAGGGGTGGAAAATGCTGTACCGTATCTTGTTTCCCAGAGTGGGCAGCAGAATCTTTAGCGTCTCCCTTCCCACTTACGGAGGCGGTGATAGCAGTTGTTGGCCCAGACTTTTAGCAGTGCCAGTGCCTAAGCTCCAGGTACTGAACTGGAGCCATGACTTATCTGGCTACATAGCTCATGCCTTTCTCACATCACTTCATGGACACTTAGAGGCCTTACAGTGCCAGCCCCCATGACTTGCCTAGACCTATTCCATTAAACACCACAGGGTTGCGTGGGAGGTTAAATGTTTGCAACAGAAAGCCTGGCCCTGGGAGGGGCTTCAGTTCCACCTGTCAAGTCCTGGTATAGGCTTTGGGGATGAGGCAGTGAAGACTAGAGGCAAAGTTCCTATTCCCTGGCAAGGTGAAAAGATGGACAAAGAATAAATAAAGACAGTGACTTTATAGTGACCTTGGGGACGATGGGGATTTCACAAGAGGTAAGCCATAACAGGAACAAGGGGGAATGCAGGGATGTTGGAGAGCCTGGGTAGACACTATGCCACAGAAAATATGCCACGGGGCTCAGCCCAAGTGGGAGAAGCAAGAAGGATGTGGAGGAGGAAGAGGAGCTACGTGAGAAGAGGAAGAGGAGGTGTGGGGAGGAGGAAGAGTGTGGGAAGAGGAGGAGGAGGAGCCATGTGGGAGGAGGAGGAGCCCATGGGTAAGAGGTACAAAGGACTTGAGGTCTAAAAACTTGAGGTCTAAAAACTTGAGGTCTAAAAACTTCCTACTCCCAGCAACTGTGGCATCTATAGTTCAGGCTGACTCAGAAGCCCTTATGGGCTCCATGATCAAAGTGCAGTCTAGGAGGGCTTCCAGTTGGTGAGTGCCCAAACTGGTGTTGCAATCTGAGAATCCCTTGACCCTGTTGGGTGACCGTGGTGTGGGGCAGTCCACCAGGAACCTCAACAAAGTGAGGAGTGAGCAGCTCGGGACACTGGAACCTGTAACATCCTCACAATGTTCCTGTAAGGAGCTAAGTGAGAGGATATAATTTAGGCACCAAGTGAGTCTGCAAACTGGACCCCAGAATCTGAAGCTGTGGCCTAGCAAAGTCTCCCCACAGAAACGGGAGCCACTCCAGAACTCCCTTGGCTGCTTTCCTGGTGGTTCTTCCAATGCCCAGTGAGAGGGGTCTCCTTGCCCCCAGGCAGGTGGGTGAGTTGGTGAAGAAAGGCTCCTTTCGTGCAGAAGATATCCAGAGGGGGAAAGAGATGCAAGTGGTCAGAGAATGGGCCCATAAATTCTAGGCTGTCCAAAGAGGGCAGGGCTTGCTAATGAGGAACAGGGCAGGAAAAAGAATGGGACTGGGTGGTGCCTAATTCCCTAACCACAAGTGAAGGTGGGAGATGACCTGGAGGTTGTGGGGGACAGGCCCAGAAATGGGGCCCATTCCTCCATCCACATTCCACAGCTGAGAACTAGCATGGCCCACCTAGGTACCGGGTGGCACCTGTCTTTAGAATATGGGACCCAGGTCAGGTGACTCACACCTAAAATCCCAGCACTTTGGGAGGCCGAGGTGAGAGGATTGCCTGAGCTCACAGGTTCAACACCAGTCTGGGCAATTTGGCGAGACCTCATCTCTACAATAAATAAAAAAATTAGCCAGGATAGTAGTGCATACCTGTAGCTCCAGCTAGTTGGAAGGCTGAGGTGGAAGGATTACCCAAATCCAGCAGGTTGAGGCTGCGGTGGCTGTGAGGGTGCCACTGCACTCCAGCCTGGGTAACAGAGTGAGACTCGAACTCAAAAAAAAGAGAAAAGAATATGGGACCTGAAAGACAGAAGGGAAAGTTTACTGTAAGCTCCAGCAAACAAATACAAAGTTAAGGGAAATGGGGTCTTGTTTTTTTTGATTTTTTTTTTTTTTTTGAGTCAGGGTCCACTTATGAATGAGAACATCCCACTTGCTCTCTCTTTTTTTTTTTCTGAGTTGGAGTCTCACTCCATCGCCCAGGCTGGAGCACAGTGGCACATTCACAGCCACCCCAGCATCGACCTTTTGGGCTCTTGCAATCCTGCCTCAGCCTTCCAAGTAGCTGGAACTACAGGCACACGTTACGGCACCCAGCTGGCTAATTTTTGATTAACTGTAGAGACAAGATCTTGCCAAGTTGTCCGGGCTGGTCTTGAACCTGTGGGCTCAGGCAACCCACTCACCTCGGCCTCCCAAAGTGCTGGGATTACAGGTTGAGCCACCGAGCCAGCCCCTACTTGCTATTAAAGCCCCACTACCCCATCCCAGCTCCACCCTCCGTTTCATGAGCCTGGTAAGAAACGGGGCTGCAAAGGAGTAGCCACAGCGACACTGGGTAATGAGGGCCCCTGGGTAATGGACAAGTGGGCATGGTCAGAGAGTGTGATGACCGAAGGGGTGAGACCTCCACGAGTTTGGGGATGGTTGGAGTGGTAGTCTTATATCAGAGTAGGGGTGAGTGTTTGGCACAAGGAGCCACAAGGTCACACAGCAGAAGCAGGAGGACCTGGCTGGAGAAGACCCACAGTCTCTTGCTGATGCCCCACTCTGCCTGTGCCCAGAAGGCTGGCCCTTGCTAAGGTGCAGGGCTCAGTACTCTCCCTGAAGGAGTGCCTCAAGGGCATCTCACCTCTCTCCCCAGAGCTGCAGTATCCTCATCCTCCTAGCTAGGTAGGTGCTGCCCCTTCCCACTCTGTTGCTCCAGCCAGAGCCTGGGGTCTCCTGGCCCCCCACTCTCTTTTCTCTCCACCCAGTATCCATTCAGTCTCCAAATTCCACACACCCCACCTCCTGATGTCTTCCATGAAGGGTCATTTCTCTGTGTCCCTACCATCATTGCTCAAGCCTAGCTCTCATCTGCTCTGCTGGGCCCCAGTCACCTGCTTTGCGAAGCTGACATATGCTTCAAATCTCCCCACAGTTTCTGCTGAGCCCAAGCTCCTAAGCATGACTGGACAACCTCATGTACAAATTTTGACATTTGGCACCAGACATGCTATGTAATATTAATGTTCTAAATCAGCCACATCTGATCTATTATCTTATTACATAGCACATCTGATTTAGATGCCTCCTCTTCCCATCCCTCCCCTTCCTATCTTGGGGTTAGTGCACTTTGAATCCTCTTTGTCCCCGTCCCCTGCACCCAACCTGCTCTTTTTTTCTTTTTTCTTTTCTTTTAAATGTGTGCGTACATAAGTGGTTTAGGTACAGGTGAAGTTTTGGGCCTCCCACTGGACCTGACTTCGCCTGGATTAGCATCAGGCACCCTTATTGATGTTATGCGCCGCCCCCCCCGGCAGTGTCCTGATACTGCCAATCCCTTTTTTGTAGTATTATGAAAGGTGTTCAGGGTCCACTTATGAGTGAGAACATCCCACTTGCTCTTAAAGCCCCACAACCCCAGACATCTCAACTCCACCCTCCGTTTCATGAGCCTGGCAAGGTGTAGCGCTGTTGGGGGAGAGAAAGGCACTGGGGTGTGGACATGGCTGCCCTCTGGCCTGCCTGTGCCCTGGATTCCGCCTGACCCTCATGGGCTGCACCCCGGCCCAAAGGTCTTCCCTCTAAACCCCTCCTCTTTGGCGCCTCTCTGGGGGTTCTTCTTGACCTCCCACCCTGGGCTTGCTTCCCTGCTATAAGAGCTGTCCGGTGGGGCCAGGCGTCGAGAAGGCATCTTCCCAAGCGGTCAGTATGAAGGTGGGGCCCTAGCAAGTGTGGAGAAAGGGGACACGAGGCTTAGGGTGGCCCTGAAGGATACAACGGCCGTTACAGGGCAGTAGAGGATGGGTGGAGAGGCTCGCCTCTTCGTGGGGCTCGGCCTGGGAGTGCTGAGTCGCTCAACTCGCCAGAGGACCCTGGAGTGGAAGGGAAGTGGGCACGCAGGGCCTCTGCCCCATCCATCGGCGGCCCCATCTCGCGACTGGCTCCCAGCAGGGCCTGTAGCAGCGCTGGAGTCAATCCAAGCGAATATCGGGCGTTGCACTGATAAAGAGCATGTCTTAGCTCACAAGTGACGACCCCACTTTGAAGCGAGGAAAGTGAGTCCTGAGGAAGTCAAAGAGATTCACTCCAATCAGCACGGAATGGTTGAACAGGAACCGGCACGCGGTCATGAAGGCTTCTCGAGGCCCCCAGCCGTCCCTGCCTCACTCATCTGCTCCTTATTGCAGCCTGCCCTTCTGGCGGGTGACTAGTCGGAGAAGTGCAAAGTGCCTGCGTGGTGAGTGAGGGACTGAACCTGCGGCTCTCTGGCGGGTGCCGTTCTGGCGCCGGAAGCTAGACCACCAGTGACCGCCAGGGGACGCTGCCCGCCGCGGAGGCCGGCACGACTCGGGGCGTAGCCTCCAGTGCCCGCCCACCGCCGCCGGGCGGGGCTCCTGGGCTCCAGCGCACGTGCGCACTGCGCGCCCTCCCGCAGAGACTGCTGGGCTGGGAGACAAGCGGCAGCGCGGGGCAGCAGCGGAGCCGAGCGGCGGTCGGAGATGTGGCGACCGGTGAGGACCCGCAGGGCCCGAGGGAACCCCCGAGACCCTTCGCCCGGCCCTCAGGGACCCTCAGGGTCCCAGGATCCTACACACTCCCAGACTCCAGCCCCGGAGACCTGAGACCCTGCATACCCCAGGCTCCCTTCCCTCGAAACCCAAGTCCCTTCAGGTTCCCAGACCTCAGCCCCAGAGACCCAAGTCCCTGCAGGTCCCCATATCTTCCACTCTCAGAAACTCGAGCCCCTGTAGGTTCCCACATTCCCCTCCTAGAGGGAAAGACCTGTTCCTGCAGGTCCCCACATCCCCGCCCCCAGAGACCTGAGACTCTGCACACCCCAGACTCCTATCCCCAGACACTCAAGACCCTGCAGGTGTCCAGATCCCCTTCTGGCCCTCAGAGACACGTAGGGCTCTTGCCACAGTCCATCATCGCTCAGATACCGTTAGATTCCTCTTATTAGGGGACCCCAAGTACCACCCACCAGCAAAGAGACTGCCATCAGAACACACCCCAAAATTCTCTGTCTCCACAGCAGAGGCTCTGTGACAGGACAACCTCTAAAAGCTCTCTTCCCTCCTATCTATAGAGGGGCATCCCTCCCCAAAGGGACATCCTTCCCTGGGCAGTTGCTGAACTTCTGCCCTGACCTCCTGGACTAATGGCAACCCTTCACAACTTGAGGTTGTGCAGTCCCTGGAGTTCTCAGCTTTTCTTTCACCCACTCTTTTGAGGACCTTTTCCTACTCCCCAACCCTCCTCAGCCTTTTCTGCTTTGGGGAAGGCAGGATTTCAGAGTGTGTGGGGGCAGTAGATTCTCTTCTGGGCTGCTCCTGCCCCTGTCTCATAGGCCTGCTCACCCCTCCAGAAGACTCCTCCTCTCTCATGCCCTCTGACCTCTGGCTGCCCTATTCCCACTTCTTTTGATCCTGGAAATGACAGTCCCTGCTCTGTTGCTTGGGTGGACCTCCTGTTTTGTTGCATCTCTGCAGTTAGGACTGTGCCTTTCAAACCAGGCAACAGTCCTTGACCTGCTTCTTATCCAACCCCTTTCCAAGGGTACAGCCCTTTCCTCAGATGGTTTAGAGTTGAAGAGATGGAAGGGGCTCCTCTGCATTGTTCCTTTTTTACTTGGGCTTTTCTGTAGAGCTTGTATTTTTCTTTTTTGAGTCAGAGTCTCACTTTGTTGCCCAGGCTGGAGTGCAGTGGCATGGCACGCCCACAGCCACCACAGCCTCTATCTGCTGGGTTCAGGCAATCCTTTACCTCAGCCTTCCAAGTAGCTGGGACTACAGGCGTATTTTTTGATTTATTATAGAGATAAGGTCTTGCCAAGTTGTCCAGGCTGGTCTTGAACCCCTGGGCTCAGGCAGTCCTCTGAGCTTGGCCTCCTAAAGTGCTGGGATTATAGATCTGAGCCACCGTGCTCAACCGAACTTGTATTTTTGATAAGCCTGGCCTTGTAGGTTTGGCTATTAATAGTACAAATGGATTGCTGTTAACTTGTGCCTGCTGTCGGCAGACCTATTACCCAGGAGTGTTTTATGGACTGAGATTATGAAGCAGTGTTGGTGTGAGAGTTTGCAGAGACACTGACTTGGCTTTTAGTATAACACCTGACAGTTTACAAAGTGTCTTCACATATTCAAGTCACCTAATCCTCCAGATGGCTCTAGGAAATGGATGAGGCAGATTTCAGCTCCTGATTGGGATCTGCTCATGTCCAGTAAGTAGAGCTGGATTCAGTAGGCTTCTGAGTGCCAACTAGTGCTCAGAGGGTCGCACACCCTTGAAGAAGCTTGAAGAAGAAGGGAGAGAATGGAATTTGTAGTCACCAGACCCACATCCCCAGCTCAGATTTCCAGTCTATCACTTCCTAACCATGGGGAGAGTTCTGTGCCTCGGTTTCCTCTGCTGTTGAGGTGCACAGGGCTGTTGACTCTGCTGTTAAGTTGCCCGAGTTCTGGTCACTGCCTTGTAGTTTTTTGTTTTAGGTATCATCCTGACACTTTGCAGTTGTTTCTTCCTGCCATAGTCTGGCTTGTCTATGGTGACCTTCCTTCTTTCTAATCTTTTGTGACTAATCTTCAGGGTGTCATGAAACCAGGCAGCTCAGTGCATTCTTCAAGCATGAGCATACATGCCTGTGGTTCTGCAGCAAAAGCACATACTTTTTGAACTTTGTGATATCGTGCAAGATATCAGAACTCTTTTGCTACTTTATTTATTTATGTTGGAGTCTGTGGCCCAGGCTGAAGTGCAGTGGCATGATCACACTACTGCAGCCTTGATTTGCTGGGTTCAGGCAGTCCTTTTGCCTCAACCTTCCAAGTAGTTGAGACTACAGGTAAGCGCCACCATGCCTGGCTGTTTTTTATTTATTGTAGAGATGAGGTCTCATTATATTTTCCAGGCTGGTCTCGGACTCAGCTCAGGCAATTCTCTTGCCTTGGCTTCCCAAAGCACTGGGATTATAGGTGTGAGTCAATGTACTCAGCCTTTTTTTTTGCTACTTTAGATGTAGTCAGCTGTGTTCCAGATGAGCACTAGAAAAGAACTCTCTGGGAAAGTGAAGTGTTTCTGTTTCTACAGATAGATCATGCACACACTCCCTATACAAAATATGAGAAGCTGAGGGTGGGTCATGCCTGTAATCCCAGTGCTTTGGGGAAACCAAGATGGATATCCGTGAGTCTAGGAGTTTGAGACCTGCCTGGTCAACATAGAGAGACCCCTGTCTCTACAAATAAAATTATTTATAGCCGGGCTTGGTGGCTCAGCCTGTAGTCCTGCACCTTTGGGAAGCTGAGGTGAGTGGATTGCCTGAGCCTGCGGGTTCAAGACCCGCCTGGGCAGCAAGACCTCATCTCTACAATAAATAAAAAAATCAGCCGGGCGTGGTAGTGCATGTCTGTAATTCCGGCGACTTGGAAGGCTGAGGCGGAAGGATCGCCAGAGCCCAGCAGGTCAAGGCTGCGGTGGCTGGG